AAAAGTAAAGGAGGATTTGTATTAGTGCATGGATGACAATCATGAGTAAGAATATGAGTTAGCAGTATTGATACTGAGCAGAAATCTCCTCTGTGCTGAACCCTAAATGAAACAATGAATGACTTGCTGTCCTCACCATAGAAATCTTGAATCCTTGTAGCCTCATAAAAAAGTACTAAGCCTTTCTTATTGCTAATGTTACAGCAAGACTAATTTCATTCTTAAGACATTCCTGCAACTTCAGTGAAACTAATTTGTTGTATTCTTCGTTGTCCCTCCTTGCTCTTTTGAACTGCATTCAATCAGTGAAGAATTGATTAAAACTTACAGGATCGCACTCTCCAGGCTCGTAGTCAGGGCATACTCTCTTACTTTGGACTGCAACAAACTGATCTTCGATTTTTTCACATTTGTAATGGCTGCATTGGTCGAGTGGCAGGATCTCATTAACCTAAGATTTTATAAGAAAAGCAAAAGTTTTTTTTCATTGTCATCAAGTATGTCAGAGCTAATTAAGTTCTTATACCTCAGAGGTTCTTAGATGCTTCTGAAGTTCTTTCAAGTGGCAAAAATGAAATTCTGCAAACTGCAGCTAACTTGAAAGTTTAAATCCTGGATCTGAACACTCAGACCCCAAATTAGAAATCACTGCCCCATTAACCACACATATCAAGAATTTGTCGTTCCAAGTAAGTGTTCAGTTCAGAAAGCTGGTGTGTTGTTTTCAGAGTATTTTCAGTATTATATTTTTACTAGTAAGGGACATAAATTGACTCTTAGCTGTTATACCAGCTAACAGAGAGATCTGAAATTGAAAGGAGTACTTACATTGAGTACGTGAACAGTGTTGTTACTTAGTTTGACTTTGCAAGCTACTTCGATACACTTCCCACAGCACTCTCCTTCCTCAGTCATATATTGATAACCCTACTCATAAGGAGATGAAAAAGAAAGTATGTTGAATTGGTGATGGAGAATTCTAATCTTGCTGTAACTGAGGGCTGACTGGGCAGCCTGGAGAATCTGAACTCACCAGTGGGCAAGATGTTTCACACTGAACCGTTTCACAATGCACAGTGTTAGCATTAGTCACTGGATCTTTCTCGGAACTGCAGGTACATTTCTTACATGAATTGATTACTACTGACTTTCCAACCTGGAAGACAGAAAAAAAACCCCAACATTCAAATGGCAACAGTTTCCATATAATGTATAGGCAGAGTTGAACACATTGCTGAGAACCATTAAGATTGCTGAAATCCAACTGCTCCTGAGTTCTTCAACTCTCTTTGAACACAGAGTTGTTTGGCTTCAAGCCTTGCAGGAAAGCACACAGTAAGAGGAAACTAAATGAAGCAATGTAAAAAAGAAGAGTAAATTAATAAAATGAAGGTAAGACTAGTTTATACTGTCTCATTATTTTCCCAGCTTTTCAATGCTCCATTTAAGAATATTTTTTCTCTATAAGTCATGTTCAGTGGTTATAATTTGAAAATGGAGATTAAAATAAGCATATACATAAGTAGAGGTATAACTTTACACATGGATTTTAGTCTTTTGAAATGGATCCCCAAAGGCTCCAATGCTAATGCTTCAGTTTTGAGTTAATGACCTAAGCACCAATTTTAGCAAAAAGGTTTAGGGTATCAATTAAAGCAAAAATGCTAGCTTTGTTTTTTTAAGGTTCTCTGTGCTTATTTCATTGAGTTTGCACTATTCATCAGATTGTTTGGGAAATTCATTAGTTCCAGAAGCAGGAGGGAGCTTAAAAAAGAAAGTATAGTACTAAAAATAGTACACTCTTCTTCTCTGCTACACGTTGTGGAACATTTCTGGGATCAATTTGTTTTTGACATTAAAAAAACTGAAAAACTCCCAGTTAAGGGTGAGAGATAAAAAACCCACATGTACTGGGAAAAGAACTTTCTCAAAGACTTATTTTGGTAGAAAGGATGTACTTTCCACTTCCAGCAATATACTCTACAATGCTATAACATTCTCACCGTGTACAATGTACCGTTAATCACACAGACATCAGGTACTGGTTCTGAAAAACAAAACAAAAAATTATTCCAGAGTAAACTCAAACTGTGAGACTTCCTGAGAAGTCAAGATGTTATCAAGTTTTGTTAGTAACACAGAGAGTATGGAAAACTTGAATTCAATCCTCCTACATGCTTAGACCTCATAGGTAGTAGATGTTTAAGTAAAGTTTCGTCATTGAGATTAGCTAGAAGAGTTGGTGAGGAATGGCTTCAAACTCAAGCTATTCATGAAAAATCCCTTTTTTGCCCTTTCAATATCTGATTCACTTCAAATTAAATTAGTTGTTTCCTCTTTGAACCTTAGAAGTCCAGTCCAATAATATTCAAAGATGCTTTAGTTACTGATTCTTTATGACCTCTCAGAATGTGGTTGGATGGAATACTGACTCTGAGTCAAAAAAGAGTGTCTTTCACAGAACCACTTCAAACTTGCCTGTTCCTTTGTTTTGACTGTCCTGTTTCAAGCTTAATTTATGGGTACTTTTTTCTTTTTATTCTTTTGCGCACATATATGTATATAAAAATTTATGTATATAAATAAACTTGTATAGCTGTAGGATTTTTAAATTTTCATGAGCATTCAATGACATTGTAAGTATAATTATTTTTTTTCATACATTGGCAATTCAATTACTGATAACGCTTCACTTTGTATTATTGCTTCCTGTTACTTGCTCTTGTAGTTAATTGTTAAGCTTTTTGCTGTGCTATTCTTATGTTTATGCATCTTAGTTTAGCTGCAGCTGGGCTAATGTTAATGTGCTCCAACGTTACATTAATAACATTTAAAAAAATTAATTGACAACATTTATGATTACAGATGCAGAGATAGTTGAGCTATATAGACTTCATGAAGGTTCAAAGTATTATCCTGCTATCCCACCCATTCTTTCATCAAAGTTAATTGAAAATAACGTTTTGTTTTTAAATAAAGATCTAATGCACATTTAGCCAAAAATTGATGTGTGTTCACTGAGACAGAACAACTTAAGGTTTTGCTATTATTGTGATACATGAAGAACTTCCTTAGGTATCAACAGAAGTGCAAATGTAATTTATTGGAATGCGTAGTGTGGTGTTTATATATGTATTTTTAATACTTACGGCATTTAAATTCAGGACAACATGGGTCTTTTTGTGGTAGTACAACCATGGAGACAAATCCTAGGTCACAAGTTGTTTCCTTTGTTGTTGGGCATGGGAGCGGCTGGCATTGCACAGTAGCAGTGAGGGAGTCACAGACACACTTCTGGCATTCACTTATCCAGCTCTCTCCAGGCTGAAAATATGTAAATGATTTATTCTCAAATGCTCTTTCTAGCCCTAGTTGTTTTGTTTCAGCTTAAGATAGACTCAAAATTGGTGGGAAGTTCAGATTAGAGTTTTCTTAGCATACTATTAAGAGCAGGAATGCTGAGAACAATTTTCTTCTGCATAAAAAGAAATATACTTTACTTTTCATACGTAGTCTGCTTCTTTCTATGACATTTAAGTGTCTTTTATTAAAAACAAATGGTCTGCCATGGTCTTAGTGAGCTTTTCCACCTACAGATTACTTAAAATAACCTGGTAATACCAAGTTAAAGAATTGTGTGTTATCAGGTCATTTGTTACACAACCAACTTCCTTATTGAAATACTTAGAGGTTGATTTGAATTGGCTATTAGAGGACAGAAATTGTGCTGTTTTTGCAACAGTGATATATTAGAAAGTAAGGAGGGGAACCACCTTTCGTGGAGGATTGACATCAGTACAGTTTCTTTCTGCTGAAGTTGTGAGGGATGTTGCTGTGGTTGGTGAGGCAGAAGACAATACGTGATCTGTGGATGAGGTGCCTTGTGTTGTAGTTGTTGAAGCGACTGAAGGGACAGGAGTTGTCAAAGGACACGGCCCCTGGAATGGCTCAATTTCGCATTCCTTGCTGCAAATTGCATAAAAATTACAGCCAGCTCTGTCTGTTCTGTTGTATACCACTTCGCCTGTAGAGGAAAATTGGAGGAGAAATTACAAGACAAATGAAAATACTTAGGGAGAAAAACCAGGAAAATACTGTGAAAATATAAAGTGTGTTCATCTATAAAAAGTTCTATGTTTAGATTATTTTGAGTGGTTATCCTTACTTGAATAGTGTCTTAAGGGTTTATATTGCTTATAGAAATTTTTATAATCAAAAAATAAGACACTTACCAGGAGAAAATAAAGTATCAAATACATGACAAAAGCATGGAGTTACTCTGCTGGACGCAGCATGGGTACTGGCTTCTGTTGTCACAGATGTGCTGGTGGAAGAACTGAATATTGCAGAAGTACTTGTTGTAATATGACTTGATTGTGATGTACCAGTAGTAGCAACTGTTAAATACAAATAATAATTTAATTTGCAGAACAGGATTTTTATATAAGAATTTTAATACATTCAAGAGGTCTTTTCAGCATTCTAGCAAAACGAGTGAACATTTTGTTGCATTCAAATACTTGACCTATTCATAAGTGGAGATTCTGAAAATTTTTTAGTTATACATTGAATATTGTGTGGCATTTGGCAACTCTTAGGACATTTAGCTCTAAAGTTTTCAAAAGTTTCAATATCACCACTTTTTGCCCTGAATTAAGGATTAATACTACGAAGCTGAGTTGTCTAACAGACATACTAGAGGCAGAGGGGCAGACTGATTAGAAATTCGTTTATGTGTTTCAAAAAATAGATATGGTGAAAGAACCACAGAATCACAGATTCACTTAGGGGCAGAAGTCAAAGACCAAAGTGACATAAAATGTTCTAAAGAAAAACTGGGAAATAAACCTTAAAGAGGTAGACAATGACATACCTGGACTGACTGTGGGACTAAAAGTTCCGGGAAAAACAGTGGTAGACACACTTTCTACAGTAGAAGAAACAATTTCAATAACACCTATGGTGCTTCTGGTTCCAGACTGAGGAACAGTGGTAGTGGGGACAGCCGTGGTGCCAGCAGTGCTTCTTATTTTTTCTTCAGGAGTTCTGGAAGCGGTTGTGGCAGAAGTCGGAGCCTGGGTTGCCACAGTGGAGGTTTCTCCTGGCGCAGTTTTGGCTGAGGGTGTTGTGGTGCTTCCCACCGTGGTCCTGGAGGTGCTGGCTGTGCTGGTGGCTGGTGTGGGCACTGTTGGTGTGGGTGTGACGATGATGGTGGTTGTGCCTTCAGTCTGAGGGGGAGAGGTCCTGGTGGTGGTTGCGATGACGGTCGTGCCTTCATTCGTTGGGCGTGTGGTGGTGGGGACAGCCGTGGTGGCAGCAGTGCTTCTTATTTTTTCTTCAGGAGTTCTGGAAGCGGTTGTGGCAGAAGTCGGAGCCTGGGTTGCCACAGTGGAGGTTTCTCCTGGCGCAGTTTTGGCTGAGGGTGTTGTGGTGCTTCCCACTGTGGTCCTGGTGGTGCTGGCTGTGCTGGTGGCTGGTGTGGGCACTGTTGGTGTGGGTGTGATGATAGTGGTGGTGCCTTCAGTTGTCTGGGCACTGGTCCTCAGCGCAGCTGTTGTGCTTCCAGTGGTTGTGTTTTGTCGTTGGGGAAGTGCTGAGCGAGTAGTTGTTAATGGTGCAGTTTGGGTTGCTGCTGTGGTGGTTTCTGGAGGGTAGTATGTGGTGGTGGTCTTTACTGTGGTCTCTGGGATCGCTGATGTTGTCTGGCAGTGTTTACGGTCACAGCAGAACACTGAGACCTCATAGTCAAAGCACATTGGGTACTTGACAGTCTGATCCTTATTTCTGCATACAAGCCCAGTGTCAAGGCTGCACTGAAATTTTTGTTCCATTATTTGCACAATTCTGTCAGGGTAATCTTTAGCACGGCACTTGATGTTTTGTGGCTTGTCGCACAGTGAATAACCAGCAGCTCGTATATTTTCAAATGTCTCAAAATCTCCATTTTGGTTACCAGGTGTAGGGGAGTGCACATCAAACCACTGTGTCCAGGCACAGCGCTCCTCACAGTTGTCTGTGGTCTTGGAGGTACTGGCAATAATGGTGGTTGCTGACGTGGGCACTGTTGGTGTGGGTGTGACGATGATGGTGGTTGTGCCTTCAGTCTGAGGGGGAGAGGTCCTGGTGGTGGTTGCGATGACGGTCGTGCCTTCATTCGTTGGGCGTGTGGTGGTGGGGACAGCCGTGGTGGCAGCAGTGCTTCTTATTTTTTCTTCAGGAGTTCTGGAAGCGGTTGTGGCAGAAGTCGGAGCCTGGGTTGCCACAGTGGAGGTTTCTCCTGGCGCAGTTTTGGCTGAGGGTGTTGTGGTGCTTCCCACCGTGGTCCTGGAGGTGCTGGCTGTGCTGGTGGCTGGTGTGGGCACTGTTGGTGTGGGTGTGACGATGATGGTGGTTGTGCCTTCAGTCTGAGGGGGAGAGGTCCTGGTGGTGGTTGCGATGACGGTCGTGCCTTCATTCGTTGGGCGTGTGGTGGTGGGGACAGCCGTGGTGGCAGCAGTGCTTCTTATTTTTTCTTCAGGAGTTCTGGAAGCGGTTGTGGCAGAAGTCGGAGCCTGGGTTGCCACAGTGGAGGTTTCTCCTGGAGCAGTTTTGGCTGAGGGTGTTGTGGTGCTTCCCACCGTGGTCCTGGAGGTGCTGGCTGTGCTGGTGGCTGGTGTGGGCACTGTTGGTGTGGGTGTGACGATGATGGTGGTTGTGCCTTCAGTCTGAGGGGGAGAGGTCCTGGTGGTGGTTGCGATGACGGTTGTGCCTTCATTCGTTGGGCGTGTGGTGGTGGGGACAGCCGTGGTGGCAGCAGTGCTTCTTATTTTTTCTTCAGGAGTTCTGGAAGCGGTTGTGGCAGAAGTCGGAGCCTGGGTTGCCACAGTGGAGGTTTCTCCTGGCGCAGTTTTGGCTGAGGGTGTTGTGGTGCTTCCCACCGTGGTCCTGGAGGTGCTGGCTGTGCTGGTGGCTGGTGTGGGCACTGTTGGTGTGGGTGTGACGATGATGGTGGTTGTGCCTTCAGTCTGAGGGGGAGAGGTCCTGGTGGTGGTTGCGATGACGGTCGTGCCTTCATTCGTTGGGCGTGTGGTGGTGGGGACAGCCGTGGTGGCAGCAGTGCTTCTTATTTTTTCTTCAGGAGTTCTGGAAGCGGTTGTGGCAGAAGTCGGAGCCTGGGTTGCCACAGTGGAGGTTTCTCCTGGCGCAGTTTTGGCTGAGGGTGTTGTGGTGCTTCCCACCGTGGTCCTGGAGGTGCTGGCTGTGCTGGTGGCTGGTGTGGGCACTGTTGGTGTGGGTGTGACGATGATGGTGGTTGTGCCTTCAGTCTGAGGGGGAGAGGTCCTGGTGGTGGTTGCGATGACGGTCGTGCCTTCATTCGTTGGGCGTGTGGTGGTGGGGACAGCCGTGGTGGCAGCAGTGCTTCTTATTTTTTCTTCAGGAGTTCTGGAAGCGGTTGTGGCAGAAGTCGGAGCCTGGGTTGCCACAGTGGAGGTTTCTCCTGGCGCAGTTTTGGCTGAGGGTGTTGTGGTGCTTCCCACCGTGGTCCTGGAGGTGCTGGCTGTGCTGGTGGCTGGTGTGGGCACTGTTGGTGTGGGTGTGACGATGATGGTGGTTGTGCCTTCAGTCTGAGGGGGAGAGGTCCTGGTGGTGGTTGCGATGACGGTCGTGCCTTCATTCGTTGGGCGTGTGGTGGTGGGGACAGCCGTGGTGGCAGCAGTGCTTCTTATTTTTTCTTCAGGAGTTCTGGAAGCGGTTGTGGCAGAAGTCGGAGCCTGGGTTGCCACAGTGGAGGTTTCTCCTGGAGCAGTTTTGGCTGAGGGTGTTGTGGTGCTTCCCACTGTGGTCCTGGTGGTGCTGGCTGTGCTGGTGGCTGGTGTGGGCACTGTTGGTGTGGGTGTGATGATAGTGGTGGTGCCTTCAGTTGTCTGGGCACTGGTTCTCAGCGCAGCTGTTGTGCTTCCAGTGGTTGTGTTTTGTCGTTGGGGAAGTGCTGAGCGAGTAGTTGTTAATGGTGCAGTTTGGGTTGCTGCTGTGGTGGTTTCTGGAGGGTAGTATGTGGTGGTGGTCTTTACTGTGGTCTCTGGGATCGCTGATGTTGTCTGGCAGTGTTTACGGTCACAGCAGAACACTGAGACCTCATAGTCAAAGCACATTGGGTACTTGACAGTCTGATCCTTATTTCTGCATACAAGCCCAGTGTCAAGGCTGCACTGAAATTTTTGTTCCATTATTTGCACAATTCTGTCAGGGTAATCTTTAGCACGGCACTTGATGTTTTGTGGCTTGTCGCACAGTGAATAACCAGCAGCTCGTATATTTTCAAATGTCTCAAAGTCTCCATTTTGGTTACCAGGTGTAGGGGAGTCCACATCAAACCACTGTGTCCAGGCACAGCGCTCCTCACAGTTGTCTGTGGTCTTGGAGGTACTGGCAATAATGGTGGTTGCTGACGTGGGCACTGTTGGTGTGGGTGTGACGATGATGGTGGTTGTGCCTTCAGTCTGAGGGGGAGAGGTCCTGGTGGTGGTTGCGATGACGGTCGTGCCTTCATTCGTTGGGCGTGTGGTGGTGGGGACAGCCGTGGTGGCAGCAGTGCTTCCTATTTTTTCTTCAGGAGTTCTGGAAGCGGTTGTGGCAGAAGTCGGAGCCTGGGTTGCCACAGTGGAGGTTTCTCCTGGAGCAGTTTTGGCTGAGGGTGTTGTGGTGCTTCCCACTGTGGTCCTGGAGGTGCTGGCTGTGCTGGTGGCTGGTGTGGGCTCTGTTGGTGTGGGTGTGATCATGGTGGTTGTGCCTTCATTTGTCTGGGCACTGGTCCTCAGCGCACCTGTTGTGCTTCCAGTGGTTGTCTTTTCTTTTTGGGGAAGTGCTTCAGGAGTTGTGGAAGCAGTAGTGGATGATATTGTTGTTTGAATAGCAATAGTGGATAATACATTCGGAAGGGTTGCTGCTGTAGGGGTTTTCGTGCTGCCGGTGGTGGTTGTAGAGGTGCTGGCAGTGCCAGTGGCTGGGTTGGGCACTGTTGGTGTGAGTGTTGGGACAGTTGTGCCTTGTGTTGGCAGGGCAGTAGTACCGGAGACAGCTGTGGTGCCAGCAGTGATTTTTGTTTTTGATTCAGGGAGAGTGGAGATGGTATTGGGTGTTGTTGGAGCCTGGGTTGTCACAGTGGAGGTTTCTGCTATAGGAGATGTGGTTTGGTAACCTGTTGTTGAGATTTGAGATGTTCTTGCTGTAACTGAAGTTTCAGTCACAGTAGTTGTTTTTTCTCTGTCATTTGGTGATGTTGTAGTTACTTCACTCTTTTGCACTTCGGTTTCTTGTTTTTGTGTTGTCGGTTTTATCTTTGTCTGTACTGTGAATTGTGTTGATTCTACAGCAGTAGTTGTTGTGAATTCTCTTGTGGTTATTGGTGTTGTAGATTGTATTTCAGAACATGGTATGTATCTGCAGCATGATATTCTGATTTCATAATTATAGCACTGCTTAGATTCTTGGTCCTGGTTATTGCATATTAATCCTCTGCTTTGACTACACTGTATTGTTTGGTTAAGGTGGTTAATTTCTGTATCCGGGTGTTCTTTGGCTCTGCATTGAACACCATTAGGGTTTGTACACACACTGTATCCTTTTTGCTTGAGACTTTCAAATGTTTCATAATCTCCACTGTCCTCTTCGTTTTCAGGCTGAGTAGAATCATACCATTCTGACCAGGTACACACATTTTTCACACATACAGTTGTCACTGGTGTTGCAGTTGTCATTTCTGTAATTAAAAGGAGGAACCGTAAGTCTTGTCTGCTGTAATTAAAGAAAGTGCCAGAAAAATTTTTCATCTTCCATATTTTTTTTTGTATATAATTTTTTATATAGTGTACTATTTTAATTTTAGTGAACTTGCTTAGGCAGTCTTCAATTTAATTTCTAAAGTAGTTTTTGACCTTTCGTCTATATTATTATCATTATACTGGTACTTTCTGTGACATCTATAAAAAATTGTAGCTAAATAAAGCTAATCTGATATCCTTTGCATGGTACGTTAGTACTTAGATAATATAATCTCATGATTTCTATGGTATATGTAGAGGAGGTTTTATTCTCCTTGCTATTATCTCTGTATTTATTTACTCTTAACTGCATAACCATGCAGACTTTAAAATATTTTTACAGAATAATGACTTTTCTACTTATTTTAATATTATAACATGTAACACATTTATAAACCTGAAATATAATACATATATTTAACATATATGTATTTTGCATATAGTGCATTATAATAGAGAATACACATATAGTATATATGAAATACATAATCTAATAAGTATTTTCTAGTTATTTTAATAAGGTTTTTTTCATATTCTTAGCATTATGAAGATGACCACGTGGAATAGATACCACTTGCTTCACATGAATGTTGCTTAACAGAAGACTTAAATTTGAATATTTAGTTCTTCCTGTAGTATAATTTTTTGCGAATATTTCTCAAAATTACTGAGAATTTGGTCACTGTAATGAATTAACTGCAGGAATAAAGTAGAAGTGTACTGTAGAGTAGAAGGAAACTGTTGATTTGGTTATTAAGTACAATTAGGAAAGGTTCTAAACAATGGTTATAAATAGTTTGAGCATTTCCTCAAACTAAATTTCTTATCTTCAATTGGTAGTAATGTGCTCTGTAGTTTAAGAAATGGCAGCAATTGTCTTTCATGTTTTCAGAAGGTGGTCTAGAACTGCTGGTTTTTGTTAGCAAGGAAATTAGAAGATTCTCCAGGATGCAATTATTAGTAAGCTCTATTATTTTTTTCCCCTGGATAAACCATGGTGAAACAGTGGAGATTGGGTTTCTAAGAAGTGCTGTACTCATTTCTACATCCTTATTATGGTCTTCTTTGGCAACTGAAGCTGCCAGGTGAATTGGTGGCTCCAGCAGAAGTCAGCGTTTTCAAGTAAAATTATATGCCATTAACTGATGAGAAAATCCTCCCTTTCAGCTAATTTTCAGTCACTCACAGAAATTTTTCACTTATTTTAAAGATTATTCATGCATACCTGAAGTAGTAGTTGTAGGCTGACTTGTAGAAAATGTAAATGGGGTTGTTGTAAAAATGCCACATTTAAAGATGTTCCTGCTTATTGTTCCATTGACATCGCATGTTGCACTGAAACACCATCCAGTTCCATCCGTGGTGTTATAGATGAGTTCACCATATTTATAGCTATTTCCTTCATAAATGCAGTGGCAGGCTGTAATTCAGAAGAAGTTAATTGTCAGGAATCTATGAAAAGGTAATATCCATTATTTCATTTTCTTAATAATTTTTCTTAGCTGTCTTACCTTTATCATCAAACTTGCACTGTAAACCTTCTGATGTGCACTCACTGAAATAGAAAGCATAAAAACCCATATTTTTTTGATTGTGATGTACTTTGTTTAGTCATCTTTCTGATAAATACTGGCATCAAAAGGCAAGGCACTTTATATGTGCTTATTCCTTTAGTGTCCAGTTGGTTTTGTCTTCTTTTTGGCCATCATTTTCCCAAATCTTTCTTTATATTAAACCCAAACTTATAAATAGAAGTGAAGTTAAATTTTACACAAAGCTACAGGTAGAAATCTTAAGGAAAACTTTCCTTATTTCCTTCATATCACTTTCCTTGCACTTACAATGTTTCTGTACTAAATAGCCGGCTAAAAAGGGAGAATCTAAATACTCAAGCAATATAAGTATGTAACAAAATACTTGGAAGTAGGTCACTATTAGATATCTTTAGTTCTGGCACAATGTTTTTCCTGCCACAGGAATGTGAAATAGAGAAAGCCTGGTCATAAAGGACTTCTTGTTCGTAATGGATCTTTACACTGAGAATTTGCAATATAATCAGGAACAAAATCAATAGAACATAAAATCATATAAAACCTTCTTACTAATGTAGTAAGAAAACCACCATTAGATAGTAAGGCATTATTTTTACACAGGCAGCATAGCCTAATCCTGTCATGTAAACGGAACATGCAATTTCCCACTTTCTTTTGATCGTTTTTCCTTGTATATGATGAGGCTGGTATGTTAAGTCTTACCATATATTACATTCATCTCGTTTATATATCTTTCCATCTTCATCATCATAACAGTCACAGAGACTAACACACTTCATCTGATCCTCATGGAAATATGGCTTGTCTGGTGGGCAGTTAGGGTAGCAGCCTGGAGGAAGGAAGGAAGGGGGCATGTACCAGGCAGAAAAGGTAAGAATGAGATACTGTCAGCAGAAGTTTTATTTGTGTAGAATGCATTTTCAGGTCTTGTTTTTAATTGTCATAACATTTTTATTTATTTTTTTCCAGTAACTCTAGTAAGTAATGCAGAGTACTAGCATCAGCAGAGCCCATCCACAAGGACTTAGTCTTAGAGATCTTTTTCACTCCAGTTTCCATACTCTGCCTCCGTTCATGTGGATATAATGATATTGAAGAGAGTTGAATTGTGCAAATGCAGATAATGGGGGAAATACACTCCATTAAAAACAATTAAAAATATAATAATATGTACCCTCTAAAAGGTACTTGCAGCTCTTTTTACCTTCTAAACCTGGCAAGTCATTGAGGCATTTTCCACTTGGGTTCCTACAGGTCTTCATACAGGAGGCTCCACAAGGCTTATAGTGCCATTCACATTCTCCTTGTTGATTGTAGTAATCACAGAACAGTGCTAAGGAGAAACAGAAAGTTGGACATGTTCAGAAAAAAAAAAAAAGGCACAAATATCTTAAGCATGAAAAATCTACACAGTGAGATTCTAACCCACATGTGTAAGATACTCACAGCATGTTTCAAGGACATCAGCAAGATACTGTACATTTAACTACACTTTTAGAAGAAGTGTTTATGACATAAAACTCACGACAAATTGATGGGCTTCTCCAGGCTACGCATACACCAACTTCACTGCATGCTTGGGCATAGGCAGCTACTGCTGTACAGAAGCAATCACAATCTCCTCCACTGTCACAGGCACAAGCATCTGTCACACATGCTTGGTAATATTTTGCTGGTTCAACCTGTTAGTAATCAGAAGCGTGATACTATACATCTTGCCTTCTAAATTCTTTCTTAGCTTTGCTAGAGTAATTTTCTTAAAATTGTAGTATCTCAGAAGGAAGGCCTACACCGGTAATTTCTTTTTCTTTTGTAAGACACTGTTGAATGCTAGAGCTGATGCCAAATGATACATTCAAATCATATATTGACAGATTTTTAGACACCCAGACATGTGTTCTGGGGGAAGATTAGATTAATTTTCCTGAGAAATATTAGGCAATTGCACAGAGTTATCTGGCAGTGTTTGGTATGTACTTAGTGTCAGATAAAGGCTATGCTGATACTTCATTACTATGTTATTACTATGTTGAGCTTGTGTTCTGTACCTGGTATATGAGAAATTTTTATTCAAGTCAGGCTATAAGGAAATACATAGTAATTATGAAATTATTCTTTTGTAGTATGTGGATAATTCTTATGAACTTCATGTCTTTTTATTTCTTACAGGTAGGGACTATAAATCTGTCCCACTCAGTGAGATTCAGATTGAAGTTTTTCTGACACTATCTGAAGTGAAACATGCTAGTAAGTGAGGCATGCATGTTAAAACATATGAGGATAGCACCTTCAGTGACACACAGACTTAGTTTTCACACAATAAACTTCTGCCCTGGTAATACCTGAGAGTGACAGGCAGCAAAGACGTTGCTGTTGATGATGCTACACTGCTTCTCTGACCAGGACTTTCGGTAAGGGTTGGTAGAACATGGGTCCTTGATGTCGTTAGCATCAGGACATGTAGAGGATACTTTCCAGCTGTTTCCAAACTCTAGGACATTCTCTACTACAGACTGACTCCTTGTAGTAAAGTCATTGATGCTGTTGCCATCATAATTTCCACAGAGGCCACAGATCTGGCCCTGCAAAAGGAAGTAAATAAAATAATAATGGATGTGAGAAAACTTGAAACAACATCTGAGACTGAAATAATACTTGAATGCAGCTCTTGGAATGGTGCCATTCCTTTCTATCAGTCCTGAACATCTTCATGCTCTGTTTCCTCAGCAACAGATCATGACCACTAAGGCTAAAAGGATACTGCTCTTGACTTTTCTTCTTTGAAATCTGAACAATAAAACCATCTTTGTCATTGTAACCTTTTGCTTTGACAAGAAAATGAGGACTCAGCTGATTAAGATTTACACTTAAGCCTTGTTTTATACAATAGATGTGCATATAAACAACCAGCCTTATAAAGCTGTCGTAAGTATTACCAGTTCAGCCACATAATCTACTCATTGTGTCTTTACCATTAAGACTGCTTACAGGTATAAAAAGAAATAACATTTTCCTTGCACATCCAGAAATATCCCTCATTATAAATGTATGGATCTGTACAACTGTGATAGGCTACAATAGATGCTGTACTTCCTCTATGAATCTAAGGTGCATACTTTCTGTATTACTACTATTTTTATAAAATGCCAGTGGGTGAGGCAGCAAAAGAACCTATGGTACTGAAGCAAGTTGGTATATCTAGATCTAAATTACGCTTTCTTTATATACCTAATTTAAATGTCACAGTGGTATACAATAAGATAGCAAACTCCTTATTTACTACAGTTTTTAGTACTTATGTATCATAAGCTAGGCAAATGAGTATGACAATGGGAATGCATTTTCCTTATCACCTGTGTAGTTACAAGCTTGAAAAATATGTGGTAGCATACAAGAGGCTTTCACTCAAAATATTCACTCATAATACACTTCCTTGTTCCTGAAGTATAACAATTTGACTTTTGTGTCAATGAGAATAGTAAATAATGGATTACTTTCAAGATCAAGACTACTCAGTTGATTTATACACATGTAGTTATGTAATTTTAATAAGGTCTGATAACCTTTACCAAGGTTCAGTGGGTAATTTTAACAAAGCCCAAAATAGTGGTCTGCCAACTCAAGTTCTGTCAGGCCAAATAGGCACTGAAAGCTGCCTTCAGAGCTCAAAACAGCAGAAGGACATCATAGCTTCCTGAGGTACCAGAGGAATGAAAAACAACATGGGATGTCTTGCAGCAATGCTAAAGACATCACCTGTTCAGGATCTTGGCAGGGTCTCAACAAAATTCACATCCAGACAAATCTTGGCAGGGTCTCAACAAAATTCACACCCAGACAAATCTGGACTGTATATTGCCATTTAAGTGCTAGTTCCACACCTTAAAATCAGGGCTGAGCTTGATGAAGATGCTGGTTTTCTTGTCCCACATGAGGATCAGTCCGCTTGTGGTCTCAATTACCAAGTACATACCCATATAGCGGATTGTGTATGGCACCTCATCATTTTGTCCTCTCTTTACTACACTGACATGTTCTTCACCAAGTATCAGTTCATAGCTCTGAAACAGGAGGAAAAGGTGATTAGAAATGAGCTCAGTAGCTCTCAAACCTGTTTTTCTGCTTTTAAGAGTACTATGAATAATTTATATAATGAAAACAAATCAGCAAAATTATATAGCTCAAAACTATATTGCTCAGATCTCAGGTTCCTGGAAATGTGGTAAAAGATAATTTAAATGGCATAGGCCTAAAAAGGGTCTTTTGACTGTCATGGAGGAACTACATTGCATAGAATAAAAGAATATTCTGACACAATAGGCTAACTTTCTGTTAAAAACTATTTTTCCATAGTTTTACCAAGAGTATAAGATAGTGTGGGAAATGGAAAATATAGAAAGCTAGGAAGCTCTACCAAATATTTCACTTGCATCTAATGTAAACCTAACTTAATAGTTGAATTGCTTTTTAAAATATTTTCCATCTTCCTTGAAGCAATGGATACCTAGGCTTCTCCTAAGCCTTAATAGATACAGAACAAAACTGGTCTATATACAAAACCTTATTACCTCTAAGAAGACTTTGATGGATTTTGAGCAAGTTGTCCCAGTGTTGCCACAAGGAATATTTTCAGTGACAACCCTGAAGGTCCCGTTGGCTGAGCCACAGTGGTCCTGGGTAGAGAATAACATTTAAAAATTTATTATTTTAAAAATATATTATTTTTACAGACACCATCAAGATTACCTCACACTTGTTATTGTTAACTATCAGTACCTGCACTAGTGTGTATTCACAATTTCCATTGAAGCTGAACGTTTTGTCATCAAAGGTATTATAATGACCATCTCCATAAACAGCACAAGTGCCCAGACACTGATTTTTGGTACATTCCCACTTCCTATTCTTGCATACACTAGAAAAGAGAATAAAATATATTAATAATAGAACAACTCGCTGTTTTGAGTAGACATACCCCAGCAATCAGTGTTTGTTTGGCAACTCACCCCTGGTATATGTTATATTGATTATGAAGTTAAAGTAGTCTTTTACATTTTTCATGTAAAGAATTAAAACAAAGTTCTGTTCTTCTGCTACTCTGAATACATTAACTGCAAAATAAGATACTTAATGAACCCTGTAGTCCTAAATGTTTCTTCCCATTCTGTGCTTTGGCCATCTGATACAGATCAGAAGGCAACCTGGTCATGCTGTGTAATCCAAAACAAGAAGATCCATCAACTGATTAAATGTGCAATCCAAATCTTTCATCACTGCTGTACTAGTTTAAGATCTTTAGAAAGACAAATGAGGGAACCAGGAATGTTACTTCCACAGATGTATTTACCAGGTGTTACAGTCAGAGTTGATCTTTTCCCCAGGCTGATACATGGCTTCATTGTGAATGCAAGGACATTCATCTTCAGGAATACAACCACCATTTCCATCTAACACAAGCCCATTCGGGCACATGCAGCCAGATGTACATTGTGAGCTATACTGGAAAAGACAAGAGAAAGACATAATTTCAGAATGAAATAATCACATTAAGAAAAGGAAGATTAAATTATCATAAAATGTCTTTATATGTTCTTTTTGCTGCCCAGGTTAAATGGGAGAGAACTATAAAGTACTTCTAGGACAACAGAACAAAAAGGAAGTTATTAGCCAATGAATTAATAGAATATAAATCTGTTAAAGATACATGTTTTATGTATGCCAATCCTCATTGTTCTTGTGGAATCTGTGAAATTTAGAATACATTGGATCTTGCACTTTGTAGTGGGTGATTTGTGATTGAATGGACTTTTAAAAAGAAAAGTAAGTAAAATCTTTTTCTGGTTTGGTTGAGCTACACTGAAATTGTTTATCTGATATGATACTTATTTATGAAATGCCATGTGGCCACCAAGAACCTAGGTGGAGTAATATTATTAGATGTGCAAGAAGTTCACAAATGCAGCAGGATATGAGAAAGAATAATTTCTCCTAGACAGTTTTTAGCCACTAATTTTCTCCTACAGAAGTCAAATGTGTGATAGAGCCCTAGATTTTTCACTACTGGTTCCAGTTACCTGCAGTAGCTGAAGTAAGGTAAACACTAATCTCAAGATCTAATTTGGATGTTACTTTATTATATTTTGATCTAAGGGTCCCAGTGCTGATGCTTCTTAACATTGTTTTAGGCTTTTGCTATGAGAATAAAGTATCCGTGTTGTAGATGTTGAGTAGATCCAATGGATCAATTACTTTAGCAGTAAGAGCACAGACAAAGCATGGAAGCACCATTCAGCCATGACATACTTACACACTGCATATCCAGAGTCTGGCAACTTTTTTGACATTCTGCTCCAGTTTTTCCTGCAGTGATGTTTCTACAGTCAAAGTAGACCATGGGAGATTCACAGACTAAAGGAAGGAAAGTGAGAGTAGTAAATTCTTCGGAAATTCCCTATTTCAGTTAGTAGAAATTGTTGTCCCTATTCAATCTGTTGATTAGATACACTTCAGAGCACTGAATTCTCAGGAAAATAACACCACATTATTTCAGAAAAAAAAGTCTTTATGTAAAAAGAGGTCTTATGATTAATGTAGGCACATTCCTGCCTTTTATGATAACTATTGCACTATAACTAAATGAGAAATACTTCTATTAAAAATCCATTAAGAAGAATCAATTCTATGAACTATCCTCTGCAAAATCTGACAAAGAGAAAAAATAAGTGGAAGATTATTTTTACCTGGAGTTGGATTTGGTGCTCCAATGCAATTCAGTCTTCCCTGGACACAAGAGCTGTGAGAGAGGAAAAAACATATTCCAAAATGCTGTTTCGCGGTCTCAGGAAAAAATTTCCCTTAATAACACTACACGCGCTGCTTCCATATGATATCCATTATTGCTTAACAGGAAAATTCATAGGTTGTGATGAGTATACATCTCTGCTTGTTATTTACATTCTCATAAGATCTCTCCTTGCTGGTATTGTCATAAATTTATACTTGAAAAATTATGGAATTAAATAAAAAATGCCCATAAATATAGTTGCTCTATCCATCTAGAAATATCATAGAAACATGGATTGGAAAAGACCCTTAAGATGGAGTCCAACCAGCACTGCCAAGTCCACCACTAAACCATGTCCCTAAGTGCCACATCTGCATGTCTTTAAATACCTCCAGGGATGGTGACTCAACCACTTCCCTGGGCAGCCTGTTGCAATGCTTTACAGCTCTTTCATGGCAGAAATTTTTAACATCCAATCTCAAGCTCACCCATGTACCTTGAGGCCATTTCCTCATGTCCCCTATCACTTGTTACTTGGGAGAAGAGGCAGACCCCCACCTTGCTACAACCTCCTTTCAGATAGTTGTGCAGAGTGATAAGGTGCCCCAAGTCTCCTTGTCTCCAGGCTAAACTTCCCAGCTCCCCCAGCCGTGCCTTATAAGACTTGTGCTCCAGACCCTTCACCAGGTGTGTTGCCCTCTCTGGACTTACTCCACCACCTTAATGTCTTTCTTGCAGTGAGGGGTCCAAAACTGAACACAGGATTTGAGGTGCACTCTCACCAATGCCCAGTACAGATGGATGATCACTGCCTTAGTGTCAAACTACAGGTAGTCAACATCCACAACCTTTCCCTCATCCACTAAGTGGGTCACCTGGTCATAGAGGGAGGTCAGGTTGGGAAAACAGCACATGCCTTCCCTAAACCTATGCTAGCCGGGCCTGATCCCCAGGTTGTCCTGTATGTGTCACATGATGGCATTCAAGGGGATCTGTTCCATAATCTTCCTTAGCACCAAGGTCAGGTTGACAGGCCTGTAGTTCACCAGATCCTCCTTCTGGCCTTTATTGTAGGTGGGCAGCACATTTGCCAACCTCCAGTGAACTGGGACCTCACTGGTTAGCCAGGACTGCTGACAAATGATTGCAAGTGGCTCAGTGAGCACTTCCACCAGCTCCCTCAGTACCCTTGGATGGACCCCACAAGCATAGGTTTGTGTGTTTTTAAGTGATGTAAGAAGCCACTAATGATTTTACTTTTCATTGTACTGGCTTCATTCTGCTTCTGTCCCCATCTTGCAGCTCAGGGGAATATGTACCATTTGTAAAAGTTGAAAATGAAAGAACTTAAAGCTGAAGAAATTCAAGAGAAGAGCGCTGTATTGAAATTCAGGAGACAGGATGAAACCATCTTAAATGTAACAGATTTTAATGTGAAACTAGGTATGCTGCTATTGCTTGAATGTTTTTCAAAAGATTCACTTACCATACTTGCCCATTTTCATGGACAACTTCTCCAAATGGTATGGGAGATCCTCTGTAGTAGCAGGGGCATTCAGTAGCAGGCACACATTTGCCACTCTCATCCATGTAGGTTCCGTTTATGCAGGTGCAGCCGTCAACTGGGACAAACTTAATGTTGCATGTGACATCAGGCTCACTCAGAGACCGACAAGTGGGTGGACAGGAAGAGATGGTATAGCTGTAGCTTAGGGATTTGGGACATGAGGTGGTGTATTTTGCTTGAGAGAGGAAAATAAAATAGCTCGTTAATTCTAGATGGTAAATTCTCATGGGAAAAAAACCAACATAGGCATAGAAATAACATGTAAACAATACTGTGCACATCTGCTTATGTTGCATCTTTCATGTAAATGTATTTCTGAATACTTCCAGAGTTAGATCTGAAAAGCTACTGTACATGTAGAGTAACTGATGCCTGCAAAGAAGAAAATAATTTTTCAAATGAAGGTTCAGAAATCTCCATTTGGTGTTGCCATTCATTGCCAAGACTCCTAAACTCCTTGAAGTATGAGACAAGATGTCTCCCTGAATGTCTTCTGGTGTGCTGAAAACAGACAGGCTGGATGAGCAGAACCTTGCATGCAGCTTCAAAGACCTCTCATTTGCAAGTGGTATTATAAGTACTGTTATGCTAATATGCCACATTTTCTCTACAATAACTTTTGACAAAGCTGTAGTGCAACTCAAAGTTCAGAAACAGGTGGAGGCACTTTCATAACAGCAGTCCCTTTCCCAGTCAAACTATGTCTCCCATCTGTTCTTCACTCTTGCTAGCAATGGATTGATTCTAAGGGGACAGCAGAGAATCACTTCCAGGAGTGCACTTAACAAAATTCCTTCCTCAACAGTTACTAATTTGTCTAGAAATGAGTAGAAAATAATCTCTGATCAGCAGTTTTTATTGATGTGTGTTCTTAGGAAATGGGGTAGTTAAGAGTACTTACTGCAGACATCAGTCCTCCATCCCTGCAGCTGGATTCCTTTTGCAGCACAAGCTCTCACATAGGAAGACAGGGCTGCACACAGACAGTCCTCACTATTTTCACAGTTACATGTGTCAAACATGCAGTTCTAAGAATGGAGAGAAAAATAAAGTCTCGGCACTGCTAATATGATCAATCTAAAAAAACAATGAACATTATCTTTCCGGTCTTACTCCCTAATCCTTCTTCAGATATGCTTACTCATAGACGCCAGTAACATAGCTTTTATCACTGTCTAGTCTTTGTCTAAGTTTCCTGGCAGGAGAGAATGCAGGTAATGGAAGTTCAGTTCGTGTCTGCAGTTATTACTAGGAAATAGTGGTCTTCAAGTCTGTTATACATTTAACAGCTTCATGGTCCCCTGAAACACATTCATGGATATGCTGCACAATAGCATACAAAGCTCTATTCACAGCATGCAGTTCAGACACATCCTTTCACTGGTGTATGTACCTGGATGACTTCTAATGAGAAGAAAGATTTGCAACATATTGATAACAGAATTATGACTATTAAGTAATGGGCATTCTGTGCCAAGTGGCTATTAATGAGACACCAGGCTGATGAGATGACAATTCACTGATACACAAACAAGCATTTGACATGCGTTTACATAGGCTTTCTGCTGTAAGTGTAAAACCTTCCAGGACTAAATACCTGCCTTTTCATTTGCAAACAGGTCAGGATCTTGAAGCCAAGACTGACAATTGAAATAAGGTAATGTTACAACACAAACAGAAACACATGTTGAAAGAAGAAAGTGCTGCAGTACAGAAATTAAGATATAGGCATTGCATAAGACATGTCTGGAACAGTCCTTTTCTGGTAGCTAGTTGTAATGATTCCATTTCTATTGTTTCTAAAGGGAAAAACAATCTAACAAAGTACCGTGTGGTAAACAGCGGGATTCACTGCATAGTGGCAATCAGCAAAAGGTCCTGTGCTGTTAGTTAGCAGTCCACACCAATACTGAGCGTATTTTTCTGTGAAAAGAAGAAACAATACAAATGCACATTACTCTTTGTATTTCATTAGTCACAAAGCCACACTGCCCTGGTCTATGAAGCCAGTTCTGACACTTTGTTAAATTTCTCCTTCTTTGTCTTTTTTTTTTTTTCTCTCAGCTTGTGGTCTAAGGTTCCTATAACCAAAGAAGAGGACTTGCTGAAGGGGATGAATAAAAGGTTTGACCTTACAGTTTTCTTCAGCTGTGTTTCTCTGGATCTTCTTTTATTTTGTTACTTATCTTCAGTGCTTTCATTTTTGAATATTTGTTTCTGATTTCAGATGCATGTTTTTACCAAATATGTAAATCTTTATTTTTTATCTTTGCTTTCCAACTGATGTGTTTTCCTTAGGGATGAGCAAACAGAAGAAAAAAGCAAACTAGAAAAAATTCTAAGAAGCACGCACCATTATCAATGCTGAGTGCACAAGGGTTTTCAAAACTCTGCTGGATATTGGGGCATGAAGCCTGAGTTTTCCATGTATTAGCAAATGCTGTTGCTGTTCCTTCAATTATTCCACTTATGACCTTGAAGTCATCAGTTTGGATATTATTGAAGTTTCCACAGAGACCTGTTGAAAAGCAGTGAGAAGTTTAAACTGCTCATATTACACAAAAGGCATTAATCAAGATGTTCTTATTTCATTCACTTACCACAAGTCTGATCTTTGAAAATAGGATCCAGTCGCACAAACACTTGCATTATAGGTATGAACTGGATTTCAAGGTGGACCCCAGAGTTTGTCTGCATGATCATGAAGAATGATGAAGGTCTGAACATGGTGACATTAGCTACACATGAAAAACAAAATGATCACTCTCAGGATGAGGTCAAATGCTGAAAACCTGACACTGTTCTTCTTGAATTTCTATCACAATTGTTGCAAATTCTGAGGTGAAATAAAGCCAATCTTTATGAAAATTAATCAGAGATATAAATCAAAATTTATTGTTCAAAATCTACTTGCAGCTACCAAGTTATTAGCTTTATTTCCTTCCAGAACATAAGCCATTAGAGATTACTACTTCAAAGAGAATAAGTAGGAAAAACTGTATGACACTGAGAGTTAAAAAGAATATTTCTGTTTCTAAGCTGGTACAGAATACATTGGAGCCCTCACTCTGCTGGAGCAGGAAAACAAGGAGATCTGGGGGTCAGAGATATCGCATGGAATCATTAGTTACTGAAACGAAGCAAAATTCAGATTTCTTTCTAAGCAAGTGTGAGCACAGGGGTAGTAGTTAAAAAAAAGAGGTAAGAGAGGTAAAAAGATGTCTTCTGCATTCAATTTTGGGCAGTAAGAAATAAGTAAACCTGAGAGTGATCAAATCAGGAGACTGTAAATGCTGTTTACTACTATTTAAACTCTTGCCTATGCTTGTACTGTCTCTCATTTCTTTATGACACCAGACATTTCACTTTATTTCAAAAGCACTTGTATCATTCACTGTTGTAGAGAAAAAAATACCTGCTGACATGGGCAGCTGGGTGTAGATTGAGTTCACAAACACACTACGATCAGGTCTGACCTCAATGACCTATTAAGGAAGGGGAAAAAAGGCAACTGTGTGAATCAGACTGGTTTGGGTTGGGAAGGACCTTTAAAGTTCTTCTAGTTCTAACCTCCCTGCTATGGGCGGGACACCTTCCATTAGACCAGGTTGCTCAAAGCCCCATCCAACCTGGTCTTGAATACTTCCACAGATGGGACATCCACAACTTCTCTGGGAAACCTGTTCCAGTTTTCCACCATCCCTGTGAGGAATTTCTTCCTTATATCTAATTAAACCTGCCCTCTTTCAGTTTGAAGCCACTCCCAAAAAATCACAAAGTGATTGTTCTATGTGCCCTAGTAAGAAGTCCCTCTCCAGCTTTCTTGTAGGCCCCCTTTAGGGACTGGAAGGTGCTCTAAGATCTCCCCAGAGCCTTCTCCTCCCCAGGCTGAACAACTCCAGCTCTCTCAGCTTGTCCTCATAGGAGATGGTCTCCAGCCCTCTGATTGTCTTTGTGGCCCTCCTCTGGACCCGTTACAACACGTCCATGTTATTCTTAGGCTGGGAGCCCCAGAGCTGGATGCACCACCCCAGATGGGGTCTCACCATAGTGGAGTCAAGGGGCAGATCACCTTCCTTGACCTAGTGGCCACACTGCTTTTAATGCAGCCCAGGCTGGCTTTCTGGGCTGCCAACCATGTGTGAAGAATAACTATAATCCAAAGAGTAATAATGGTGATATTAATTAAACAGATATTCAATAAAAAAGGTAGGTCTTTGTGATTTCACCTCCTCCCTGTTTCTACCTTGTCCCTTTACTAATTTTCCCTGCTGCAAAAGAATAACTTTTAAAGTGATTTTCTCAGTTTTTTAGGGGATTGCATCATCTTGTTTTCTTTGAACACATCTTAGTTATGAATTACACCCCTTACTGTTGTAATTGTAGTTACTAACCTTAAAACTCGTGGTTTTTTTCTATCTAACTAGGAGAGAAAATAGCTTTTTTCTGCTTTGTGAGTACAATGTGTTTCTTAATGAAATTCCACAAAGCCAAATTTATGGCTGATCTGATTTTCATAACAAAATCAGTTTCTTTTCACTTGATTAAAATTAATATGTAGTCATTGTATATGTTGAACATTTGACAAAGAAATGCAGCTCCCTGACTGATTAAGACCTAGTTACTTTTCTCTCCATATTTTTAATAAGCTTATTTTGCATTCTTACAGTTTGTCCTTTATTCATGTTGAGGGTCACGGTCTTTAAGCATGTCTCAGTGTCTGTTAGGCCACATTTGCGTAGGTCTACCAGGATGGTGAATGTTTCATCTTTGCAGTCCTGAAAAAAAATGCCAGCAGTTATTTCACGGAAGTCGAATTACAGTTGCTTTCCCTGTAAAAACTTCTCTCAACTCTGAGAAAATATTTCTGTTTCTGAAGAAGATACACACTCTCACAAATCCCTGACCCTCTTTGGCTGAAGATTCAATTTTGCCCTGTTGTAATGACTAGGAACAAGAAAACTAGAATCTGTATTTTATTGATTATACCCATATGGATATCAAGATGGTTATCTGTATTCATATTTGGTGTTTTTATTCATGCCAACTTCTGATGTTTGATTCAATTCTACTGTAACTCTCATCTTTCTGTAGCCGCTATCTATACTAGACAAAAATTTCAGATAAAACATGTCTCAGGTGAACAGTAACATACAACATTTTATTTCATTTTACTGAACTGTGCAGGTGAGGAAAAAGGAAAGCAAAAAAATGGAAAAAGCCCCTAAAAGATCAAAATATTTCACACAGGCCTGTAATTAAATATTTTAATTATCATTAACTTCTGATTTTTCTACTTCCTTTAGAAATGTTCAAAACCAAAATTAAATGTATCAGGTAACTTGAACTGATTTTCTCTATTTGAACGTCACAGAAATGAAACAAATTTTGGTTTAAAATCTTAAATTTAATTTTTTTAAGAACCGTTGGTGTAATTTTTCAGACTGATACCATCTGGCCAAATGCCATATAATAGAGTAACATGACAAAAATTATGGAACTCAGTAAGAAAGCTGGATTAATCATACTGAAGAATGTATACTAAGCAATTCTTTAAAAAGACAATGTTCTTCAATTACTCTATCACAGAACTGGAAATTTTCCAGTGAACACTGTATATAGTTGCATGACATCCTACTAGTTAAATGATGATTGTCACTTGAATGGCAGCATAGTAAACATCTGGCTAAGTGGTAGGTAATTTAATGTCTGTGTCAAAAGCGCTAAGTTGCAGAAGTGTTGATTGAGATCACGTTTTTTTTCTATAAGTGTAAGAGGCTTTATGACCTACTAATGTCTGAGTCCCACCTTAGAAAGGACGTAGGTGCAGTCTCCGTGGTGATCATAACGTTTTTTATCATATGTGGAAATGTGTGAACCTCCTTCTACTGAACATATTCCTGGGCATGACATGTCTTGGCAGCTCCACTGGCCTCCATTGCAGGTACTGGAAGAATAAAGTTAGCTGAAATCAGTAACAGTGGCCCAGAGTAACAGTGGTGTTAGGTTCAGCTGGTTTGCTATTGCTTTTCCCTTCAGGCTGTAGTTTGACACATAGTGAATCTAGACTTAAGACTTTCCAAAACATTGTGAACTTGTGATGGAATGACTCTGGTAACCATTCCCCTTGCTTATTTAATTGTTTACTATCTTTGGACAGGTGAACTTTCCAAAACAGGTATTGAATAAATAATTGTTTGGTTTTTTTCAGCTAACATAAAGCACAATGACAAATTGAAATATCTTTTGTGGGTTTTTTTGTTTTCTTTTCTTTTTTTTTTATATAATTGTATCATAAACTGATAAATAAGGAAATGTAATTTCACATTTACTCCTGATGCAGGTCGTGTCTGTCTTCTAAGGTGATGTGATAGTGCACAGGTACAAGATTAATAATTGTGAAATGGCGGTTATATTATGTCATCCCTTGCTTTCTCCAGAGAAGATAAATATTTGCCAATACATTAATGACTGCAACTTCATTCCTCTTCGAGAAATCCAAATGTTTGAACAAAATAAACAAAGAGGAAGCATTTTAATTGACTGATGAGAAATCTAAACATTGTAAATCCTTGCTTTGATCACCATGAGTTAGAGTGCAAAGCAAGTTATGGCTGTTGCTAAATAAAACAAACAATGTTTTTAGGGGTATTTTGGAACTGTAGTGGTCAGTTAAATACATATGTCAATTACCAGTGATGCAATGGCATATAATAAACTATTAAACTCATTAAATTTATGAGAGGAAATAGTGAGTTAGAAAAGCAACAAAGGTTACCAGGTCTGGCACGGCTCTGAAAAAGAAGCTCCTGTAGCGTAGGTGTTGCCATTGTAAATACAGGAGCACTGCTGCTGGGGAATGCAGCCAGAATTGTTGATGTCATCAAATACAGTCCCTAGATTAAAAAAAAAAAAGGACAAAACCTTGATGAATTTCCTATACACCTGTTTGTTTATTACAAATCCTTAATATCATCTTAGAGGCAGATCTGCAGCTATTGTGAATGGATATACCAATGCTGAGGACAGCATGTCAGTTTGCTCAGTGAAGGATTTGGCTTTTGTATTCTTAAATTCCACCTGCTCTGAAAGAGGGACTTATTGTAGCACAGGTGGCTGGTTGAAAGACTTGTCTTGATCTGTTTGCTGTTCTTTTTTCCTGCTTTCTAAATATTGCACATGTATTGGCAATTAATTCAGGTATCTTTTCTCAGCTGAGACATGACAAATGCTTTTCACTTGCAGCTGTGAAAAATGCAAATACATGAGATTTAAAGCCCACATGGAACCTGCCCAAATCCTACAGGTAAGCTATTGTTCTTTGAGATCAGAGATGTATTTTAGAACTTGCCTGGGGGGCAGAAACAACCATCAATACAGTGTTCTTCACAAAACTGAGATCGTTCAGGATTCGTGCATGTATCAGCACAGGGGGAGTTGCACTCCTCGTACTGCATGTTGTAAGGACACTTCTTGGCTGAAATTTAAAAAGGAAGAAAGATTGATGTTTTTTCAGTCAAAAGTATTTCTAGTTCACTATATATGTAAATATATATATCCATTTAAGGTTTCCAGCTAGATAAAAAAGCGCACCAAACTGCAGATTGACTACCAGCTCTCAAAATTTGCAAGTTTAATCACCTAGATCCATATTTTACTGTTGAGATGTGCATTCCATGAGTAGTGCAGAACTGGCTCAGTGACTGGATTTGTAGGGACAGCGAGGTAATGACCCCAGAAAGTCAGCAAGGTCTGTCTTTCTACTGAAGGCTCCCTTCCCACAAACACCTGTATTGCTCGCGAAATGTAAGATTTAATTCCTAAAACTTTAGCATATTTTCATTTTCTGATACCATCCTCTGGGCAAGTACTACCTTACGGGCTTTTGTTTTGGAGCAAATGCAGGTGACAGTATAAACAGCTACCCTGCAATAATCAAGTATGTGTTTAAATCAGTGCAAACTCCTCACTACCAAGCAAGAGGAGATAAATAAGTGCTTAACCAGCTAAACACCTGTGAAGACCCAATCAGTTAATAATGGAGAACAAGAAATGCTGTAGCCACCATGAGAAAAGGAGAGAAACATGAATAAAAGCAAGCAAGCAAGTAAGCTTGTCTCATTTTTTATTCTTGTTTCTCCTTTATTTGCTTCATTTACTGTCCCATTTAATTAAATTACACTTCAACTTCCATTAGTATCCATGTAAGTGTTTATAGTATTTAATCCAGTGTGCATTAAAATCCTTAGCTTTTTTAAGTCTTCATGCTGGAACTTGTACATCAGAATCCTCTGAAGAATACCATCTTGAATGGCCTGTAACTTTTCAGGCATCCTCAGCATCATTTGAGAGCTTGTTGTTTGTTAGTTACCGAGTATGAAGTAAGGCTGTCTCCAGTGATACTTACAGCACAGTTTTGAGGTTCTCCAGTTCAGGGGCTGCCCACCAGCATGAGCACACTGCCGGGAGTATTCAGCAAAGGTGTCACAAATACATGAGGCATTTTTAGATTCTTCAGAGCGGCACAAGTCATCTTGGCAAGCTGTAATGTACTCTCTAACATCAACAAGGTCATTACATTCTGCAAATGCAGAGCTGGTCAATGTTTTCTGGCATATGTCATCCTTTGGAGAAAAAAAAAGTAAAGAACATCCAGTAAATGCAAAGAAGCTTTTTTTTTTTTGCATTTTTACTTTATGTAATTATTATTTAATAGAATCTTATAGCCCTCTTTAAGTTACGGTCACCTGAGGGCTTTTCCTGTTGACCTGTCTGAAACTGTAGAAGGGAACAGATAAATTTGAAAGAAAAATACAAGAATAGTAAAAAGATCCTTACAAGATTATCAGAGCAATTAGATGGCAGGGTAGAAGTGGGGTCTTCACAGTGTTCTGTTGGCCCATCCATTTTGTGCATATTTCCAAATTGCAAGGCAGACATCCTAATATCTGTAGAAAAGAAGTTTAATAATGGAGGTTGGGGGGTTTTGTTCAGTGCAACTGCCTGTTATTTTTTTCTTCTCTAAAGAATTCAGCTCAAGACTGGACAAGGCAGTTAGTTCCCTTAAGTCTTTTAATGTGATCATCACCTCTTCCAAAGGAAGCACTGACTCAATTTACCTTGCACAGCACCCTGGAAAAAGTAAACATTAGAAAACAATTCTCAGCCTACTATGTCTAGATGCACACCAAGATTTTTACTAGAAAAATAACAAACTCTTTCCAGATTATATTGAGTCCATGTAGGGAAGAGAAAAAAAATCTAAATAGGGTTTTGAAAAACAGAGACTGGTGTAAGACAAGGTTTAGGAAAACGCTCAAACTGGGGATTGTTTAAAAAGATAAAGATAAGATTTTACAAAGATTATGCATTTCAGCAGGGAAATGTGGATATACCAATTTTAAGACAGAACTGAAACAAGAAATGTACTGTTTACAAAATTCAATTGCCTTTTGTTTTATTGAATATATTTCTGTATTATTTATCTTATTAGTGAAAATCTCAATCATTTTTATGGAGTTAGCTAATTAGATATACCAAAATGGTGTACAACAATGGCATGCAAGAAACATGCAATCAGTTGTTAGCACCAGTACTATATTTACACTTAAAGTATTAAATCACATGCTCTGATCTCTGTACTACATATCTTTAAACAGAGATTGAATCATATGTTCTGAGTAAACAATTTAACAGGATAGGAAAGAGGAATGCTGATGATGTCAGAGATAAAATAATAAAAAACAAAAAAAGCATGTTGGAGACCCCTGCAAGCCAATTTTTTTTGTTTAAAAAACTTACTGTTTGAAAAGAACTCATTGTAAATTGGAAGGCCATTGAAGTCCCCGCAAAGTCCACAAGTCTGATTGGCATATTTCTCATTCAATTCCAGCTAAAATGACGGATAGTAAGTTCATAGAAGTTAGTATAAACATTCTAAAATATATTCAAGACCGCAGAAAAGACTTGCACCTGCTGCCTCTAAGCATTTTTTGTCAGATCTGTGGTATTTTATTTAGCAGCTTAATTCAAACCTGGAGGATAGAATAAAGAGCTGGCCTGGATTTGACCTTCGAGGTGGAGTCTAAGCTATTGATGCTATTGACACAGACTTAAGTTTTCACTGTAGTAGCTATACTGCTCTCAGCCTCTTTCTATTAATTCTTCAGGAAGAAAATCAAATCCTCAGCAAAAATGAAGACCTAGGAGAGTGAAATTCTGCTAGAAATATATATATATTTGAAAGGGTAATTAGGCCCTATAATAATACCAATAGCTAATTATATAATGAAAGGGATTTTTCATCCTATTTTACTCAGACATCTGCTATCCACTAGGTATAAATCCATGTAATTTTCTTTAGGACTACTTGGATGCAAGCCTATCTTTACTAGGAAATAATTGCTCAACAGTATGAGAGAAGAAGGCAGTAGTAACCCTCTAAAGAGATAAGGACTGGCCTAATCAAAGATTAGCTCTAATCTCTGAAGGTGTAGAGAGGTCCAGGAATAGTTCTTACCAGGATGCTGTCATCTTCATTCCATAATAACACAACACCGATTTTGCTGCCAACTTTCACGTAAATGCTGCTTTTCTCTATCGTAATGCCAGATTGACTATATGGCAGCTGAACTCTGGGAAAAGGCAGAAAAAATGCTAGTTAATTTCTGATCCAGATGTTTAATAAGCTTGTGGTATCCAGCATCTGTAGGATTCTAAAATAATGTCTTTTTTTTTTTTTGGAAAAGCAATTGAAAAATAAGATGGTCCAACATAAAATATAGATCTAAATTTGGATCAACTTCTCAGGATTTTTCATCCAAATTTTATTTTTGAGGTTATATTTCAAGGAAAGATTCATTTTCTGTGGTAGGAATTTATAGCATTTTATTTGTTATTTATATTGGTAAAATTGTCAGATTTATTGAAGAACACATAATTGTTTCTTCCCAGATACACCAAAGTACTTGGTAAGTTTGAAAAAAAGTCTGTGGTTACCAAACAAGTGTTAAGAATAAACTTACCTGTTGCTGTTGATCATGACAGCACCCTTTGTTAGTTCAGCAACTACACCTTCAAGCTTCATGGTGATATGGTTGATTGTTGGAGCATTTGCCACCACTTCACGCCTAATCTGGATGTTGAAGTCCTCATAGGGAGTGTTGCAATGGGAGGCAAAAACATAATTACAGAGCCCAGGGAAATCGAATATGTCTCCATCAAAGGTCTTGAAGTGGAAGTTGCCCCAAGTGCTGCATACACGGCCATTGTGAGCAGGATTTGAGGCTGTGAATTAAAACTAGATGTTAAAGAATGGCTTAAAATTCCCAGCATTAGCATGGTGAAAATCAGCTTCTCCCAGGCTTCATTTGTATATTGAACAGTTTTTGCCTGCCTACCTCCATTTGTAATTTTCTACCTATCCATTATAATACTTTGTATTCCTTCATCCATCACCTTATATCTGTTGCTCCTATGCCCCATAAATGGTTATCGTTATGTTCAGTTAGATCTTAATTAGTTACCCACATTTCAGCTAAGACTACAGTTTAGTATTATGTTTCTTAATCACCCTGTTTCTCCTCTTAACTATCAATGACTCGCTTTACCAGTGTCTTTCCCCCTTTGTATTAGATTCTCTGTCTATATCCCCTAAAACTGAACATTAGCTGAATACATTCCTTTCCTTTACTTACGTGTTACTATTAGATTTGTCAGCATTGATGGGATGATGTTCAACTTGGCTGAAACTGTGAGAGAAGCTAGGAAAAAAAAAAGAAAGAAAACAAAAACTAGTACAATAATACCAAAATTTGCAACTAGGTTAGACCTAGAAAGGACTAGACAGTTAATATGCCAGATCCAATGAGACAATGTTATGCCTGTTTTATTTTCCACAGGCCATGGGTCAGGTTAAAAGTGCATACTAAAATTCAAACTCAGAATAGTTAAATCATAAGATATTGCTTTCAGCTGTGATGATCTGCATTTTCTACATTTTAATTTTGACTCTTTTACAAAACTCTGTGTTGCATTAGGAAGGCAGAAATTCACAGCTCTGCATATTGGAGTGCTTCAGACACACTGAACAATACAAAGGGCTAAGCTGTACAAAATTAGCATCCTATTGTAGAAAAGTGTAGTTGTCTTCTTATTACACCTCCTCTTTCTAAGGACGGAATAAAAACCTTAATTATCACATTTGCTCTTTGTTTTATATTTTTCTGTTAGGGGGCTGAAAACCCTTTGAAATGACCAGAAATTGGTTGTACAGGATGGTCACAAATCATTACATGGTGAAAATCAATGATGATAGACTTTTTGATTTCCCAACATCAGCCACTGATTTTACAGCAGACTAAAGTGGTCTCATTTCCTTGTTTATAAGGAACCAAACATCCTGCATATATATTCCACTTTGATTTTTATATATACATGTTCATGCACATATGCATACAGCCTCTACAAACACACATCTGTTTTCTTAGTTAACTATGATTATACAAATATAACCATACTCCATGTGTGTGTAGTAGTTGGTGTATAATAAATCTACTACTATTCTTAGAGAGAGAGAGAGAGAGGGGCTTGTTAATACATATTTCTCTTTATTTGACACTACTGACAATACGCTAAGAAGTTTTTTTTAGGCATTTTTAGTATTTAGTATAGATGTAGGAAATAAGTACAAATATACAATATAAATACACGTACCGTTTTGGTTTTGTAGAAGACCCCCAGAGAATTTGCCTCCTATTTGGATTCCAATCTGACCTCCTGTGAAAAAATTGTAAAAAGCATATTAAGAGTAATGTCCTGTATCTGAACTCCTAAAGCAAATCATTTAGACCCAAATACATCTCTGTAAAATGAAGGGGAGAGTCAATTATCACATCAGAAAAAATGAAACAGGCTCAAATAAGATGGTTCAAACTCACTTTTCTCTGCAGAAAACCTTACAGCATCATACTGTAAGTCTATTTGACCAAGGGTTCTTGCTACCCCTCCTGAGGCAAAGACTTTTGAGAGATGACAAACTCTGACCTGAATGCTTTGAAGTCTAGAAAAAGACTGACTCTGACCTCCCGGATTGGTGCTCTAAGCTCTTGTATTTTATGAGTAAATATGGCAGGCATTTTCTGTAAAAGTTGAAGGGCTACAACTTTATTTTGTGAAGGATTGAATACAGTCAGCATGCGATAACTGTGCTTGGAACATATTGACTAACATGTACCTACAACCTGCCAACTCTAAATCCTCACAGGATTTAAGCGATGAAATGACTAATATCTGAATCCTTATCTGGATTATGTGAATGAGCACTGTAGGTGTCTAGAGAATTTCTCAGTCAAAGCTTGTGTAATTTAGCCCTAAATTAAGCCTTTTTTCTCCTTATACAATGGGCGAGAAGAGTTGCTTGACTTAGAACTGGATCCATAAGAACCATATCACTGAACTGGAAGTCAAATCTGTGGAAGAGGGGGAAGTACCATAAACCCCAGTTGCCTTTGGTGCTTACCTTCCTTGCTGAGCATTTTCTCCACTGAAGAACCTCAGCCCATGTACCTCTATGAAAGCTGAACTATTATCTTTGCCTTTAAAAGGAGTGGATCAGGAGCACCTTTTTTAAAAAAATTATTTTTCTAATATAACTTCATCAACAATGTAAGCAGATTTAGTGTTTGATCCCAGAGCTGAGGAAGAATGCCTGCTTGAAGGAATTCAAGCCCCCACTCCAAAAGAGGACTCCAAGAGACTTCTGGCTTTGGAAGAGAGGGTTCTGGGCAGCCCCACCATAGCTGAAGTTGTTGCAGTGTCTGCAGTTTCTTTCAGCTCTAGGCTTTTAATTCTTTTCTCTTTAACTTTCTGTGTGACCGCTAGTGACGTACAGAGAAGTAACGCAGGACAGAGCTTAACCATTTGCCATTTCTTGCTCGGTTTTGTGTATCATAGATAATAACAGTAAGTAAAGGCATTCATAGCATTATAATTGATACTTATCAGGTGAGAGAAATACCTCTTTAAGTCTCAATAGGACAAAGTTTGCTCTCACACAACACATCTCTAAGAATCTCAGCAGGTATAGAATTATAGAGGGTTTGTTTATTCTAGCGTGGGAACCTTTGTAACAGAACAAAACAGTATATACATATATTTTGGTCTGTTAATTTTTCTCAAGGAAAGGCTTTTGTATACTTAGCAAATACATAATTCCCAAGGAAATTCTAGCTGCATTGGTTTATTCAGCAATTACACAATGTCATGTTGTTGACTATTATAAAAATAAGTGTCTCTCAGTTGTAAGAATAGTTAAGATAATTTACTATTTGATAATTTAGAAACTAACGTAATTATTAAGAATATTTGGATGCATCTTGATAAGCCTATATTCAGCTGCCAATCCACATATGCAATTATTGTTATGATCAATTTATAGAAGTTAATATAAAGGCAGACACAAAATGTTTGAGGAGATGGCATGGGATAGGACCAGTATTCTTTAGTCAGGACATTGGACAATATTTTCAGTGGGTGTGATTCAAATAAAGAGGTGTTTGCTGGACACTGTCTAACCATCACTCATTTTTCAAAGCAGCTTAGCAGCTTAGCACTGCACAGGAGAAATAACTTTCTTGTTCAATGAATGGCTGAAGATACTTTTGACTGACATTGCATAACTCTAAATATAAGTTTATACTCTATATGACTGTTGTATTTTCAAGTACAATACAAATCAACTTGCCGGTATTTTAGCATTTATTGCACAAACTATAAAGCAGCCTAAAATTATACTTGCACTTCTCAATGTTTTGAAAATTATATGCAAGATAAATTTACATAGGCACTCTGCAGATTTAAAAATGTTAGCTGACAGGGCAGAAATTACTGTACATGAATGGGACTGACTTGTCAAGCTTGTACTCATGCAAGTATTTTCAATTTGAATGATTCCATTGATTTAACAGGATTACCCATGTTAGTAAAAACTGCCAAGACCAGCCCTGATGGATATAATATTGACAGGAGAAAACAAAACCATACAAAATGATGGACTGTATGTGTCAGATAAATCTCCCCGTCCTGCTCATACTCAATATCTGTAATTTATATATAAATATAAAGGCACGATTAGTTACTAAAAATCCTTGCCATATGAATATTTATTCCTAGTCTCTTTTGCAAAAGAAGTTACAAGAAACCTTGAGGAATCTGGTATTACCCCCTGGTAGGTGATAAAATACTGGAAAAGATTGACTAGTGGTCTAATCTAGCAACTGAAAAATGCAGTGTTTTAGATTTAAAAAAACCCCATAACATTCATAACAAATCCTAATAAAAAATGCAACAGGAATAAAATGCTTTTGTAAGGCACAAGTGATACTGAAAACCCGACATTTTAAGACATGAATAATGGTTCTTTTGGATTTGATCTTCAAGGCTACTTTCCAAACATAGTTAAATACAGAAGTTTGAGGCAATAATAAATTAACTCAGTCCAGTTAATAGACAGACATTAAATGTTCAATGAAAACATATAAAGAAATCTTGTTTAAATGCCACCATCTGTTAAATGAATCAATGTGTACAGTTGTTTAAAATATATTACCAGATCTGAACAGAGTATTTTTTCTTTTCCCAGTAAAAAAGACAACTTACCTATCTGATGGACAAAGCACAGTGCTAACAGGAAAGCCCATTCTGGTAACGACATCCTCCTGCCAAACCCCATCTTGAGTGGAGTTTGGCACAAGGATGTTGGGTCTAAAGTTGATCAGGACCAGTAGTTCACCTGTGCTTTGTCATTCTTATATAGTAGGTGACTTTGGCTTCAGTCCCAGATTGATTCAGAGAGTGTAGAAAGGTGGGGTTTGGGGGATTTTAGCAAATGAACAGGTAAACAGAGGATGCTCTTCCTTCCTCAGAAACTGGCCAATGGTATTTGCATTTTGGGAGGAGTAAATACATTTACGTACGCATACTTTGTTAAGGTTCGTTCTAATAAAGAAACATAACATGATCTCAAATAAAACACAACTCCTCCTCCACACATAGCAGGTCCTGGAGCAAATTTAATTTGGTGTTGCTTTACAGTTACGCAGATGGCATGCAAGTAACTGTTCTAAGTTTTTCAGCACTATAATGGATGCCAGGGATCGTTGGCAAAAACCCCCACCAATTTCTGAAGTCTGAGGAGGTGTGGAGTATTTCATATGTGGGGACGCAGCATTAAGAAGTCACTCTGTGCTTATTGGGGCAGCTAATCTTGTAAAAAGAACAGAATAATAACCTTGAAGGGTCCTGCACTCTCACATGGTCGCTCAGAGAGTATGCCATGGAAACCCCTTTGAGTGGCACTGACAGGCATTGGACATCCATCTGAGTAAGGCTGAGCCAGCTTCACCTGCGCTGTATCCTACCTGTTAGAGATGGGCTTAACCTTGGAATCTGCATCTCAATTCTCTGTGTCATCTGATGTTGCCTTCTCATAGAAAATATCAGGAGTAATTTCAGACAGACAGACAGCCTTATACCAGCTTCATGGGTCTAAAAAGATTGATTATGGCCTGTGATTATGATCGCATTGTTTCAGTATCATTCCTGTTTAATTCCACTCGCATCTATAGAGTTAGGAGAATTACAAATTAGAGAAACAGGAAATGAATCAAGCCTATAAGGCTTGCCAGTAAAGGTTTAACAGACTTTTTTTGCTGAATATTGACTTTTTGCAGTTTGACTGGATTATCATTTCAAAGGCAGGAATGAGTGCATACTACAATTAACATGGACAGTATTGCTGCTTCATGTCACTTTATGCTTTTTAGCTTGGCATTGGAGACAGGTAGGATGAGTTGCTCTGGGCAGATTTCTGTCCTTTCCAAGGTCAATAGATCTTCCTTTAGTATAGTAAAAGATGGACAAAAGTATTCAAAGTTAATGAAACCATTCTTTTAGAACTGCTAGGTCTGGCAAAAACGATGCACAGTCCAGCACTTGATATACATAAAACATTTTCCCTCAGTTCATCTTCAGCTTAGGCCTCCTTCCAGTTTATGGGAATGAAGGTAGCTGATGGATTAAAAAATCTTCATCATAAGAAATGGAAGAAAGGCTGCTGCTCAGTGAGAAATTTACGAAGAGGGACCTGGGCGATATAATTGGCATGGGGGAGCCACATGAGTAAGGAGCCAAAAAAAAAATATACTGAGACGTGTAGAAAAGACTTTCTTTGGGTAAAATAGAACAATTTTACCTTCTACATGTCTGGTAAGATTCAGTTCAGCAGTCTCTGCTGATGTTTATTGTTTCTGCAGGGGAAGGAGACTAAGTCTGGAAGGTGTTCCAATTGTAAAATGTGATCCCAGCCAAAGGCCTAACTTCCTTGGCTTCTTATCAAAATCCCCTCCCACAATTACACATTTTAAAATATTTCCGTAAAAGAATAGGAGGGTATAATACAATATTCCTTTCAGGTGTTACTGAAGAGAATGGTGTAATTTTCTGCCAATTTATTTCAGTTCAGCCCCTATTTCCACTTTTGTTTAGCTCTAAATATATTATTATAAAATAAAAAAAATAGTTTCTTTATGAAGTTTTATTGGATTTGATTTCTGGACTGAAATCAGTGGTAGCTTGCTATGGCAATGTTGAGGTACTTAAGTGAACATTTTGGCCTTCTATAGCATGAAACATGTTCTCTGTCAAAATGTCCAGGATGTTTAATGAAGTTACATCTTCATAATGAGTAGTAAGCTGTTTACACACCCTAGATCTGTATCTTTATGCTTCAACAAACGAGGAGAAAAGAAAATACTACATTTCCTGCCCATAGAACATTGTTTTATTCTGTGCCAGTACTCCTAATGAATATAAATTCATCTGTACATAGAGAAGGCAAATGATTTCTTGTTGACGTTACCAGTTATCAGAATTAAATAAATATACTCTAGTCTCACTTAAACAATTAAATAAGCCACCCAACAAACTAGGCTTTGAACAACTAATGTGCATATACCTTTAGCAATAGGCTACTTGTGATGATTAGAAGTAGCAGAGCTTGCTTCCCATCTCAGGTACACCCACCTCTGCATGAAAGGCATAACAGAGAGTCAGGATCTTCTTGTGTTACTTTGAAACAGAGAGAGTTTCTTGATTTTCCATTGGGTGTATTAGGGAAAGGGAATACTGATAAACTGAGGAGCTTTCTGAGGGGGCAGTTAGTGCTTTTTCTACTCATCTGGTAAAGGTGAGGAAGGTATCTATACCTAGGATGAGTAGGTGTGTCACTGGGGTCAAGGCTGCTTTGTCCTGTTTCTTCTACTGGAGTTGTTGCTAAGCAGAGTGTTTATATCAAACGTTCCTTTTCTTCTAAAACAATTTTTTGTTTTCACTCATTAAAACTCTTTGTGACTAAAGCAATGCATGTCAGACTTTAATATGCTATTTCACAAAGCATTTATCAGTGCACAGTGGTTGTTGTGAAGGCTGTCCCAGTTGTATTCAAAGGTGTTCTTCAAAAGATGTTGTCCAGATAGTTCTCTCAAACCTTTACGTGTTCTAGAATTGTTATGATTGCTACCGCTTAGACTGAAATTTTTGATCTCCAGGGAACAGTGACAGTCAAATGATGTACTAATATTCAGCTTATCCAACCGTACAGCCTCTCTCTCTTCTTTCCTCTCCACCACAAGGAGAGGGTGAAATTGTTAATAATGTAACAGGTACAGAAGAAATTCAGGTCGCTAAAGTTAGTTGGCTCATGAAATTTTGAAAACAATCAGGTTATGACATTTTACTGATTGCTGGGGAATCACATCTGTAGATAACACTATCACAAAACCCAGAAAGGTTTAGGTAAACACGTTCATTGGTCACATGGATGGTTGCTCCAAATGGTTATTGTAGATTAAAAGAAAGTAATTCAAGTCCTTTTGTGTTTCCCAGAGAGTTATGCTCCCTACCTACTAAATAGGTAGAGAGGATAAAGCTCTCCTCTTCGGTTGTATGAGGGGAAAGAAATCTCATAAGCAAGTTTTGAAGTATTTTAAAAACAGAAACTTAACTGGCTGTTTTTCTTGTAAATGTACCCAGGAATACACTAAGGGACCACTGTTTTTGACATCACCTAGCACTAACACAAAGGACTTTTGTTCCAAGAGGGAACGTTCAGGGAGATATCGAAAGGATTATTGATTCTTTTCTGCATTTTTTGCTGGTTTTCTCAGTTTTAATATGTGTGAAACCCAGAAGCTTATCTTGACATCTCAGCACCAACTGACATGGAAATTAATTCAGGATAGATCTGTAGAGTTGACAGACATCAATTACTGGAAAATTATTGGAAGTTATTGGAATTTAATTGCAACAGCCAAGGATGCAACTGACAAACATTCTATTTTTATTTTGATCTTGTATCAAAAATATATACTAAAGGATTGATCACTAAAAGTACCTCTTGCAACAGTAAATTAAATAATTCTGAGCATGGATATAATATTTCCAATTTTACCTTTTCCTGTTTTCTTGCATAAAAGTAGGGACAAAACTTGAGACATTGATTATACTAGTTTAATGTAAAATTTCAAATGCCAGATAAAATGTGAATATTATATATACTATAAATACTATAATTACAATCTGAAAGCAGATCATATAATATGAGAGTAGCAAAGGTAAGCATTCAAAATTTAGGTAGTGGTAGTATTAAGGCTCTTAATGAAAGCCAAATTCATTGGCCTTCTCTGTTCAAACTACAGCTCCACTAGTGTTAAGAACTTCTGCCTCTTCACAAGTGTGAAAAACCAGAGATTGCTGGGACCTGCGTTTTGCACCTGAGTTGGGTTTGTGCCTGTGCATTGTGCCTCAGATCTGTGAATTCCTTGCTTGCCGTGTCAACTGGCAAAATGAAATAGTTGGATTGGTCAGAGAAGAGACTATTGTCGTGTGGAAAGTAACATAAAGTAATGACAGCATACAATTAACGTAAACTAAGTTGGTATTAACTTAAGCAGGGCATCCGGCACACCCTCTCCACCTAGCTCTGTAGAGGTTTAGTTGCTGTTCTTGGCTTGTCCTGCTCAAGCTTTTGTCACCTTTCTCTGATAGCCTCAATTGAAATGCTGTTGAAATCCCTGGCCAGGTTTAATTCTATCAGGGCTTTAGCTTTCCTAACCTGATACCTGATTGCTCTGACAATCTCTTTGCATTCTTCCCAGGCTACCTGTCCTTGCTTCGACCCTCTGTAGACTTCCTTTTTGTGTTTGAGTTTATCCAGGAGCTCCTTGTTCATCTATGCAGACCTCCAACTGCTTTTGCCTGACTTCCTCTTTGTTGGGATACATGGCCCCTGAGCTTGGATGAGGTAATCCTTGAATATCAACCAGCATTCTTGGGCACTCTGGGGCTTTATCCCACAGCACTCTACCAAGCAGATTCCTGAATCAGCCAAAATCTGCTCTCTTGAAGTCCAAGCTTGCTGTGCACCCTCCTCACTGCCCTAAGGATCTTGAGTTCCACCATTTCATGGTCACTGCAACAGGCTGCTAGAAAAGTTGCCATGCCTTGTCTTATCTCAGTATGTTTGGATGCCATTTTTTAGGTTGGGAAGATTCATATATGTATGTACTGAATCATTTTTACCTTGTTTAAGGTACTTAAGTTCGTTGTTGTATTGGGTTTGTGTTGCAGGGTTTTCATAGGAGGGGTACTACAGGG